CTGCACCCCCCATGTTCATAGCAGCATTATTTACAGTAGCTAAGACATGGAAACAATTTAAGTATTCATTGATGATTGAAAAGATAAAGAAGTTGTGATATACACAATGGAGTGTGATTCGCTCATTACAAAATGAGGAAATCCTACCATTTGCAACAACGTAGATGGACCCTGAAGGCATTATGCCAAGTGAAATAAGTCAGACAGAGAAAGACAAATATTGTATGATCTCACTTACATGTGGAATCTAAAAACTTAATTTTTAAAAAATAAACTCATAGAAAAAGAGATCAGACTTGTGGGTACCAGAAGCGGAGGGTGAGGAGAGGGAAAATTGGAGGAAGGTAGTCAAAAGGTACAAATTTCCAGTTATAAGATAAATAAGTGCTATGGATGTAATGGGCAACATAACGACTATGCTTCGTACTGCTGTACGATATATAGGAAAGTTGTTAAAAGAGTAAATCCTTAGAGTTCCCATCACAAGAGAATTTTTTTCCTTTTTCTTTTCTTACTTCTCTTCTTTTCATTATATCTATATGAGATGATGGATGTTAGCAAACCTACTGTAGCAATTATTTCACAATGTATGTAAATCAAACCATCATGCTGTACTCCTTAAACTTATACAGTGATGTATGTCAATTATTTCTCAAAAAAACTGGGAGAAAAAAGAATACTTTCAATTTTTCAAAACAAGACAGAAGTCTCGAATTTATTTGGAGTCCTCTACTTTCTCCGAGGAATAAACAAAACATTTCTGTGAGCAAAGATTGGCCTGTGGGTCACTAATTGTGATATCTGCAAAAACATGCTACTACTACTTATATATAAGTTATAGAACAAGAGGAAAAATGTATTTGATTCTGTAAACATTTCACAATAGCATATCACTTCTATATCTCTTTCACAGATCAAATCCATACCTCTGTCTTCATTTCTGCAACAAAAGTACCAGTTTTCTTACTTCTTGCTAACTGGAAAATAGTATTCTCCTTCCTTTCAAAGACCTATCTCTCCAGTCAGGAGCTGAATTCCATCCACTTTTTTCCTCAGAAATCTTATTTTATCATGTGTGTCCTCTCTCATCTAATATCTTCAACGACTCTCTCAACTCAGCATAAGTGTGCTACATCCAATCTCTCCCATCTGGAAAAACAGCAGCAGCCACTGTGCGCCCTGCCTGGATCCCAGGCACCAGATTCACTGTCACACATTTTGAAAGAATGATCCTTATTTATTTCTCCAGGTTTTCTTTGCCTTTCAATTGTTTTTTTTTAATTTAGCTTTATTGGTGTTTAATTGACACATAAATGTCCTTTAATTCTTATTCAAATGCAGTGGGGCTCCTGTCCCCACTACTCTTTTAAAACCACTCTTATAGATGCACCGATGAACCCGTTGATTGCTAAATCCAATGAACAACTTTTACTTTGCCGCAAACCTTCACCCCCTGTACACTGTATATTGTTCATCAATAGGCTGACATTTCAATTACCTTCCTTCAAAATTAGTATACAATGGATATATGTTAATCACAGAAAAAATAAGAAAATAAAGGAAAAGAGTAGAAGCTTGTAGCTGTAGATTAGTTATGTTTAAAATGCCTGCTTGAAAGTCTTGCTTCTTTGGCATACCAAAATATATTTTGTGATGTACTGAAGGTCCTGAAGCCCACCAAATGTCACAGTGCATTTCAGCGTAACTCACTGTCTGAATTAAGTTATAAAAGTAGCCAAATTGACTAGGAATTGTGTCATTTGTATTAAATCCAGATCTACTTCTGAGTTTGTGGTTCATGCTGCTGTGAAAATGTTTTCCCTGTTACCTTTCTCAGTTTGTACTGAGAGGATTTCCTTTTACCCTCCGTAGCTCAGAGAGCCCTGACGTATCATCTCTAACACAATAAACATGCTCCTGAAGGCAAAAGAAAAAGTCTATTGCAAGTTTCTTTTTGGTGGTGGGAAGTTGGAAGCAATTTGGGTTAGTTAGAAAATTTATTTTAGGATGATAAAAGCTAAGCTGGTGCAGAAGAGCTCCCAAAATACAAGGAATCAAACAAAATAAAAGATCATTTGTCTCTCAGGGCCAGAGATGTCTGGATGGCCCAGAGTGAAAGGCCCGAGTTCCTGCTATTCAGCTGCTTAGTGATTTCCTAGAGACTTACTCAATCAACAACCCTTCCACCCTCGCCCACGGCAAAGACTGATAATCGCCCTCCAGTACCTGCCCTTCCCGTCTACCTTGCAGTAATAGAGCTTTCCCACGTTTTAGAGACATGACTCTCCATATAATGTAGAGACCACGTTTTTCATCCCGAAGTGGTCAAAGCTGGGCAACAGTCAAGGAGCTGGTAATTGTTGGAAGCTGGGTGACAGATACAGAGGGATTATTGCACTATTCTTTCTGCTTCTGTATGTGTTTAAATTTGCCCACAATAAAGAGATTTTACCACAATTAAAATCTTTTTTTTTTTTTTTTTTTTTTGTGGAAGATTAGCCCTGAGCTAACATCTGCTGCCAGTCCTCCTCTTTTTGCTGAGGAAGACTGGCCCTGAGCTAACATCCATGCCTGTCCTCCTCTCCTTCATACATGGGACGCCTACCACAGCATGGCTTGCCAAGCAGTGCCATGTCCGCACCCGGGATCTGACCTGGTGAACCCCGAGCCACCAAAGTGGAACACGTGCACTTAACTGCTTCACCACCAGGCTGGCCCTTAACAATCTTTTTTTTAAGTTTTTAATCTACTTGGACTTTATTTAAATTGCAACAAATACAAGAATTCATTTTAGATAACATGATAAAATTTTGTTCTCTTTTATTATCTTTAAAATATCTTTAGGGGCCAGCCCTGTGGCCAAGTGGTTAAGTTCCCTCAGTCTGCTTTGGAGGAATGGGGTTTGCCTATTTGGATCCTGCACACGGACATACACACTGCTCATCAAGCCACGCTGTGGCCACATCCCACATAGAAGAACTGGAATGACTTACGACTAGGATGTACAACTATAAACTGGGGCTTTGGAGAAGACAAAAAAAAAAAGAGGAAGATTGGCAACAGATGTTAGTTCAGAGCCAATCTTCCTTACCAAAAAACATTAAAAAAAAAAAAAAACAAGAAAGTCCAGTTGTCATCAAATATTATTTTTTAAAATCTTTAATTTCTTTCAAAATATCTTCAATATCATTTTCCATTTTTATATTTTATCATTATCTTATTTTCATAATCATAAATATTACTTAAAACATAAGAAAATGGGAAGGAAGGGAAGAACAGACAGAGGGAGAGAGGGAAGGAGGGAGGGAGGCAGGATAGAAAGAAGGAAGGAAAGGAGGAAATTCCAAGCCTTAGAACTAGGAAATCTTAGAACTCTATATTTTTATCTTTAGAAATTATTGGCCACCTTAGGACCTTTCTTGTATGATGCAACCCACTGAAACAAGAGTGACACAGGGGAAGAATACTTAGCCCTGGAGAACTCATTCAGACTCAGAGCAGGCCTCCTGCTTAAGGGACCTCCAGGGACATGTCTCACTCTCCAAGGTCTACACCTGAGATCAAGTCCCTCTGCCCATCGTTACGTGGAAGGCAGAGCCAAGAAGACTTCTCCTTGGACAGAAACACTATAGGGATATTTCCTTGCCCAGAAGTTCCACCCCTACATCTTCTAAAGGAAGGACAAAGTTGAAGAAAGCCCACAGAGCCCTAGATATAATTGTGGCTTTTGCCCCAGTGTTGGAAAGGATGCCATTCAGATATCCTCCAGCGAGAGCATCTCTTGTTGGCCTAGGGAGACCACGTAAAGACAATTTCCTTCTTATTCAAGTCCATCATCTCCTAACTATCCACCCTGGAAACCCGCAAGTATACAAGCCATGAACAGAGATCAGGTCCTCATTTATCATCTTCCTGAGTTGCCCATCAAGGAAGAGGGAGGGGTGACCACTTTACCTTCCTCTGGTCTAGACTAGAGGAAGCCTAGAGTAGAGGTCTAGACTAGACTAGAATAGACCTATAACTGCCCATTTTAACATGTGTCCTAGGTGTGTTTTTATCTCTCCTCTTTTTTTTTATTTTGACAGTTGTCATCCTTGTGATAAACAGATGATAGTGCAGGTTAAAATTGGCTTTATCCAAATATACCGTTACCAACTCAGAGAATAGCACAGTCTTCATGGACTCTCGTGTTACTGAGATTACAGTGCCAACAGTAGATGTTACAGATTCACGGAAACCGTGGGATGGAAAGGCCTTGGAGTAACTGAAGTGCACAGCACTCACCTCCTTTGTGAAGGCTTCCTCCATGAAAAAAACCCGCCTTCCATGAAATCAGCACACTGATTGCATGCCACTTCGGCTTGAGATAACACAGAAGGGGAAAGGGGGCTTCTATGTACTACCAGAGCTACTCGAGGAAAACTCGCCCCCAATCTTTAGAATGTCTGAGCTGGAACCGATTGAGGAAACCATCTAGTTTTCCCTGATTGGTTTTGGGTGATTTTAAATGAGAAACTCAAGTGACTTCCTCACGCACTTACAGTGGCAGAGAAAGGTCTTGCAACATCAGCAGGGGTCACAATACCTCTATCAATCACTCAAATATTCATGATGTCTGTAAGCCAGATGGTCAGCTAGAATGTCTATTGCTAATTCACTATACCAGTCAGCCCTCCTGCGATTTGAGCTCAGTTCCTTTTGGAACTGGACAACGGCACTTCTCAGTGCTTTGGAGTGTGTACCAAACTTCTTTCCTTTCCTTCTCCAGTCTGAATCTATGTTCTCTTCTCTTTCTTTTCTAGGGCTGATGCTCTACACTCTTCCTTCTCACCTTCTCCAGCTTGGCAAATAAGTTACTGCCCGAGCTTGAAGAGCTGAACAGGTCTGATACGGCAGGGTCGCCTCTGCTACATAATCTGTCCTGGGTCAGCCCAGAAGCTTTGCTCCTAATGCCTCACCCCAAGGTGTGCTCTGAGACTCATAACACATTTGAGCATTCTTGTCAGTCCTTGTCCCCCTGAGGGGAAACTTGAATGCTCCATGGAAGCTGGCAACAGAACCACAGTCACTGCGTTTGTTCTCCTAGGACTATCCAACAACCCTCTGATCCAGGGAGTACTCTTCGTACTGTTCCTGGTGATCTACCTCCTGACCCTCACGGGGAACCTGCTGGTGCTACTGGTGATCAGTACTGATTCCCATCTCCACTCTCCCATGTGCTTCTTCCTGCGTCACCTCTCCTTCCTGGATGCTTTCTATTCCTCGATCATCGTGCCTAAACTGCTAGAGAACCTTCTTTCCAAAAAGAAGACAATATCTCTCCTTGAGTGTTTCACTCAGATTTCCTTGGTCATACTTTCTGGGGCTGCTGAAGCTTGCCTCCTTGCAGTCATGGCCTATGACCGGTTCCAGGCTGTGTGCCACCCACTGCTGTACATAGTGGCTATGAACAGAAAGGTATGTACTGGCCTGGTGGGAGCCTCCTGGGCCATAGGAATGGGGACTGGCCTGGTTAACACCATCCTTCTGGCTCAGCAGCATTTCTGTGGCCCCAACCTTGTCCACAGTTTTGCCTGTGAGCTCCCCCCAGTGCTCCCGTTGGCCTGTTCTGACCCCCACATTAGTATCGCCACCATCCTGACCACCATGGTGGTTCTGGGCCTTGGCACCTTTGTCCTATCGCTGGGTTCCTATACCCGTATCATCACAACAGCCCTGAGGATCAACTCTGCCACGGGTCGAAGCAAGATCTTCTCCACCTGCTCTTCTCATTTTCTTGTTGTCACCATCTTTTATGGTTCAGGCGTTTTCAGGTATGTCACACTACACCTCCTGAATGTAAATTTAGTATCTTCCTTGCCCTAAAGTGGCCTTGGTCTATAGAACAAGGCATTGCAAATCCCAGGAAAATAATTGTACTGAATTCAGAAGGCCTGGGTTCTAGTTCTGGCTCTGGTGTGGACTATCTTGTGAATTATAAGAAATCCATTTTCTTTCTGAGGTGTCAGTATTTAACTCTGAATAACGACCTATACAAGGACTAATGATTTTCCCACTTTCATTAATCTGTGATTTGGGAGTCCTTGAAAGGATATCAGAGAGTTTCAGTAGATTTTTATTCAGTGCTAGACAAAAAAATAAAACATATCATCCTTAAAATAGATGCCATCTTTCCTTCCTACTGGAAGAGGATGTATCCAAAGTTTATTTGTGTTATGACTATTTATTAGACAGCTACTATACAGCAGCTGCTTTACATGGTCAAGCTCAGTTGAATGTATCACACCACAAGAGAAACTTGCTAACTCCATTTTCAGGTAAGAAACCTGAGTTACAGGAGTAACCAGGTATTTTCTCAAAGGTCCCAGAACAAGCTAGTAGTGGAGCCATAATATAAACGAAGTCTCACTGACTTCAAACCTTATGCTCTTTCCTACCATGCTTCTCTCATTCATAAGCAGCTCTAGCTGATGCCTCCTCACAGCCTAGGACACAGAATAACTGATGGGCTGGGCTCTCTACTGGTGAGGTGGAGATGGAGTTGCACAAATTGCCCCATAGTTTTCTCACATGCTTGTTACATAGAGAGAAGTTGGGGTGGGAAAGAATAATAAGGAATGGTCCAGGAGAGCTCACCTGAGCATGTGAACAAATCTCTTCATCTCTCTCTGTCTTAGTTTCCACATACGCCATAGGGAACAATAAGATTTCTCTTACCTACTTCACAGAAATCTTAGGAGGGTAAATTAGGTGATGAAGAATGACAGTAAAATAAATATCTTGTTTAATCAAGCACACCAGAACCCACAAACAACATTCCAATGATGATGACACCATTGCACAAAAGAAATAGTAATGTGTCTTTGGGAAATACTCCTAGTGACACTTAAGAAGATGCATCCAAAAACTTAATCTTATTATTTTGGATTCACATCTTGTGCTTAACACATTTTTATCTTCCAATTAACACATTTTTATCTCTCTCTTCATTTACCAAGCTTGGCTTCTTTTCTGATCAAAGAAACTGCACCTAAAAGGACTAATGTTTGTTCCACTAAGCCTTATAAAAATAATGTGTTGTGATTCTGAGGGTAATTCCAGAGCCATAAATTTTGGGAACAATGACATTCTTGGACTAAGCATACAGCTTTGCAAGGAATAATCATCACAAGATGAAAACATATATTTGTATATATAAGGAAAAGAAGAGAAAAAATCCTCACATTATTGTCATAGCTATTAAGGAAAGAGGCTTTCAAGAGTATGAATTGCTACAGAAATGCATGAAGCTATTATTAGTTCTATTCTAACCTGCAGCAGCTCATATGCTGCCGAATCCCCTTTTTCCTCAGGGCAGCTCCTATCACGTTCTGCATAAGATCACTCATGTTTGAAGGCGTTTGAAGGCGGAAACAACTGGCTTCTCGCCAATCAAACAGTCATTTCTAGATGCTGCTACCAGTGATAGTCAACTCAGCTCTGAGGACCCTCTTTGCAGAGTCTCTGGGATGGGATGGACCGTGGCTGTCAACAGCATTGTGACCATTATCCTGAGCTCAGTTTACTCCTTTGTGCCATTCCCTTCAAGGTACATGACTCCAGCATCCGGCTCAGCCCTGGAGCAAGTGCTCTCCGTGCAGTACAGTGTGGTGACCCCATTGCTAAACCCCCTCATCTACAGTCTGAAGAACCAGGAGGTGAAGGCAGCTCTGAGGAGGATGCTGGCCAGGAAGCCCAGGCTTACCTTCTAACCCAGGCTCCATTGTTTCCGCATAACAGGAGGAAAAGCTGTGGGAAGGAAGAGGAGGCAAGAAGCGCTATCATCACTCAGCTGTCTCAGCATTCATTCTTTTCCAAAACAGAAGCCCTAGCTCCCCTGACTCCAGTGTCCTCCCCTTGTCAAGCAAGATGGGAAAACCTCCACAGGGGAGCTGACACCCATCCACAGGGGGTCCAGTCACCACACAAGAAAATCTTCACAAAAACAGTATGAAAGATCCTCAAAAAATTAAAAACTGGAACTATCATATGATCCAGCAATCCCACTTCTGGGAATATATCCAAAGGAAATGAAACAATAACTCAAAAAGTATCTGCACCCCCATGTTCATAGCAGCATTATTTACAGTAGCCGAGACATGGACACAACCTAAGTGTCCATCGATGGATGAACAGATAAAGAAGTTGCAGCACAAATATAAAATGGAATATCAGGGGCTGGCCCGGTGGCCTAGCGGTTAAGTTCTCACATTCCACTTCTCAGGGGTCTGAGGTTCGCCGGTTCGGACCCCAGGTGCGGACATGGCACCGCTTGGCACACCATGCTGTGGTAGGCGTCCCACGTATAAAGCAGAGGAAGATGGGCACGGATGTTAGCTCAGGGCCAGGCTTCCTCAGCAAAAAGAGGAGGACTGGCAGTAGTTAGCTCAGGGCTAATCTTCCTCAAAAAAAAAAAAAAATGGAATATCATTCATCCATAAACATGAGGAAATCCTACCATTTGCAACAACATGGATGAATCTTGAAGTGAAGTGTGGAAGAATGCTGAGTGAAGTAAGTCAGACAGAGGAAGACAAATACTGTATAATCTCACTTACATGTGGAATCTAAAAAAAAATTAAAATTTTTTAAAAATACACTCATAGAAAAAGAGATCAGACTTGTTGTCACTAGAGGAGAGGGTGGTGGAAGGGAGAATTGGAGGAAGGTGGTCAAAATGTACAAAATTCCAGTTATAAGGTAAATAAATACTAGGGATGTAATGTACAACGTGATGGCTATAGTTAACACTGCTGTATGATATATAGGAAAGTTGTCAAGAGAGTAAATCCTGAGCTCTCATCACAAGGTGACATTTTTTTTTTCTTCTTTGTTTTTTTCCCATTTCTTTTTTTCCTTTTCTTTTAAAGATTGGCACCTGAGCTAACATCTGTTGCCAATCTGTTTTTTTCCTTCTTCTTCTCCCCAAAGCCCCCCAGTACATAGTTGTATATTCTGGTTGTAGGTCCTTCTGGTTGTGCCATATAGGACACCACCTCAGCATGGCCTGATGAGTGGTGCCATGTCCATGCCCAGGATCCAAACTGGTGAAAACCTGGGCAGCCGAAGCAGAGCGCGCAAACTTAACCACTCAGCCACAGGACCGGCCCCCTCTTCTTTGTTTTTTTAATACTGTATCTATATGGATGATGGATGTTGGCTGAAACTATTGTGATAATCATTTCATAACATATGTAAATCAAACCGTATTGCTGTATACCTTAAACTTATACAGCAATGTATGTCAATTGTTTCTCAATAAAACTGGGGGGAAAAAAGAACAGAAAATCCCCATGGCTTCACTGGCCATTTCTACTGCTATTGCTCTTTCCTCTCACTTCTGGTCCTTTCTTCCCCTACCTTTTCTGCCTCTCCCTCTCTTTCACTTCTGTCTGTGCACAAAGTGTAAATCAAGCTATTCAACCACTATCAAATATCCCACTGCATTCTGGGAGAACCCCGTGATGGTACTGTGAGACCCAGCTCCTCCTTTGCTCCCATCCCAAAAAGATCCCTGGCAAGATATGCAGCTTCATAATTTAGAAAGAAATGAAATGAAATAAATGTATCTCCCTTGTCTTTGTTCATATCAAGCAACACCTAAAGTAGAGCATAGCAAATAGTAAATCCTCAGTAACTATTTGTTGACAGATTAAGGAATGAATGAAGAAACAAATGATGGATCTATCTGAAGAGTTCTTTCTCTTACTTGATTCTAGGAAATGGGAGGAGGTGGCTGTGCTCCTCTGAAATATAAGTCTTGAGAGTAAAATCCCTGTCAAATATCTTCTGTATCCCCAGTGCCTAGTATAGTCCAGTCACCTGATAGGCTCTCAATTACTGTGAAAAAAAATGAGTGAATGAGAGAGAAGGGACAGTGAAAGAAGAAACATATGAAAAGGAACATTTAATTTTATGCGTTAAAATTCCTGCCTTCATAACAACGCAGATGTCAGAGGAAAGTAGCATGGAGGAGAAATCAGGACAGAAAGAGAGAAAGAGAGTCCATATTGTTGGGCTCCGTGCTGAGTGCTCCTCACACAGAACTCCATGAATGTGTGCACTCTGACTCCCCTGCCTCCCCACCACCCACCTTAGCCTGGACCACTTCAGAACCCTGCCTGGTTCAAGACTTGCTCCAGGTCTAGAGGGGGAGAAGAAGTTGGAGAGAGTAGAACAAAGGCTCAGCTGCCATCTTATCTCCCATTCAGCTCCCAAGAAAGCTCTCAGGAAAAGAACAGAAGCAATTGCCTGTCTTGTTTTTATCCAAAGACCAAGAGGGCTGATCAGTCAAGATGAATTCTATGCCAGCTTCCTGGCTTCTCTCTGTTCTTGTCTTCTGACCTTCAGGCTAAGATCCTCTCTGAAAACAAATTTATTGTCAGTTTCCTTCAACAAAGTCCTCTGAAGATTATGGCCTCATATATTGTACACACACAGGTGAAATTTCCTGATCTTCTCTGTAACGTGAAGGCCAGGGTTATGGGGTTGAGAAAAACAGTCCCAGCTTTAGTTGCATTTCTGCTCTGGCCACTTGGTGGAGCTGGTCCCTTATATTTTCCAGAGCATGTGCCTTCCTGAGGGTGTAACTGAGGCAGGGTAATAAGTAAGAAGTAGATGTGTGAGATCAGCGGGAGGAATGGCCATCCAACCGTGCCCTGCCACACACACCCCCATACACAGGAGTTACTCCTAAAACCCTGTAGAATTGGGGGAAAGACTTCTGAGAAAGAGTTTGTTTTCGTTAAGGGTAGGGGAGAAGTGACCTCTCCACCCCTTGCCTGGCCCTATAGGTCCCTAAATAGACCATAGAGCCTTCATTTGGGAGCTGGTCTCTTCATTGGGTGCTGAAACAAGAGAAGCATTGTCTGACTGCCTAAAGCCCCAGCAGGTATAGGGAGTGGAAGGAGTGTAATCAGCCTTACTAGACATCTTAGGAAGGCAGGAAGAAGAAGAATACAGGAATTAGAAGATAAATCAGCTAATTCAGAAATAGAGCAATTTAAATTGGAGTTTTGGAATGCTGGATTGTCAAAGCAAGAAGAGATTTCATAAAAACCACCTAGACCAAAACCCTCATTTTAAGATTGGGAAACTGAGGCACAGAGGATGAAGATGACTTGCCCAGGTTCAGACCATCACTGAGCAGCAGAAAAAGACTTTAGTACTTAAATTTCCTGAGTCTCCTTTTTTCACATTTCTCTTAATCATTAGAATAAGTAAGGTTCTGGAAACATCCTCCTTAAAAACAAGTGAAGCATGATCCAGGGTAAAGGGTGCAGGGTGCAGGTGTCCAGAGTCTTCAGTTGCTGAGCTAACTGTAAGGGTCCTCTGTTCTTGTCTCTGGCTTCCAGAGAGAGTTCTTCTCACAGCTCTTTATGAAGGGTATTCCTTTACCCTGAACCCCCTCAAGTCACCCATTTCAGATTCTTGGAGCCGCTTTGTGTCCTTTGCCCACTCCACATCTCCACCTGTCAAAATCCCACCCACATTACAAAACCAGCTTAAATATCACTCCTTTCATGAATCCTTCCTTGATCCCTTTTCCCACAGCCCTCCCTCCCCAAATATAAACTATTTTTCCTCTTATGAATGCTCAGGGCACATTACTAACCTCTCTCATGATGCTTATGACATTGCTCCCTGTATTATATTTATTATTGTTTATCTTGTCTGTCCTCCTAGTCTTTGAGGGAAGAGACCCTTTTAGCCAACTTTGGATCCCCACTATAGTTCCTTGAATATGCCAGGTGGTCAATAAAAGTTTGTTGAATTGAAATGGTACAGAAAGTAACCTCCATCTTTGTTATAAGTTCAGCCTATTTCCTCTTCAGTAGAGATGAAAGGTGGCTATAACCTATGGCGTCAGTGTCCACTTACTCACCCTACTTCCTCCCTCTCCCTCCAGGAAGAAAATACAGCCAGCCACTCATAATCAGGCCCTTTATTCAGGACAGAAGTGGAATCCATTGTTGTAGTGAAAATGCCATTGGGGGCACTGAGCAAGGGTCAAAATTCCAGTGCACCAGTCATGCATCCCTGAAGAATAGTCCTCAAGTGTCCAGTGGTGTCATTATAGGGCCCAGGGCTTAGAGGCAAATTAGCTTCAAGCAGGTAGAAAGCAGCAAACTGAGGTAGCCTTAGGGAAGAGGAATTGCAGGAACATAAAGAAGGCAGAAGCAGCAAAGACAGGGGGCGTTCACAACTCCTCGCAGAGCCACTGTTCCAGCTTCTCAGAGCAGAGGGGCTTATGAGCCAACCTGATAATGGAAAAAGGAGACAGGGTAAGTTGGTTAACAGGATCTTATCTCAAACCCCCATCTAGCTTTATCCCCAGGTGGGCTGAGGTGGAAGAGTATGGATGAAAATTACAGAAAGACTTTCCTAGCCAGGTGGCAAGGTATATTTTTTTAAATCCATTTTTTAATGGATTTAATGGATAAATGGGCCATAGGGTCCATTCTTTAAAAACGAAGAAAATTGTAAGGCTAGAAAAGATGTGCAATGGTACCAAGGGCTTTCTTTGGGGTCTAGGACTAAAGAACTAATATTAGATGTTCAAGTCCAAGTGAAGGGAGGTCTGGAGCTCAGCCTTCTATTAGGGAACACTTATAGGAAAATTGCTAAATAGGAATGTAATGAGGAAGGCTTTAAAATTGGAAACCTGAGTCTAATTGATGAGTTTTGTTTTGGAGACTACATTCTATATTAAATGACCAGGATATAGATAGAGGGGGGAGTGGAGCTGGGACTAAAGGGGTGAGAAGAAGGAGGGGAAGGAGAAAGTAGAAAATAGAATGGAGATTCACCAGTAGTCAATTCCTTCACTATCCAGGATCTTCTTGGCACACATCACGTCATCAGTAAGGTCATCATCCAGGAACTCTGGCGGAAGTCACAAAGAAAGGAATGAAAGAGCTAAGTATTACCCAGAAAGGTAATTGGTTTCCCTCTTCCCCGGATCTAGTAGGTCTGGTACTTCTCTGAACTGGAGGTTTGTGCCTGTTGCCTTTCTATCTGTGAAAGCCAGTACAGTAACACCTCTCCCTAGGTAGGGACTCCCTTCACCTCTCTGGGGCTTCTCCAGAGGAATTATCAACTTCATCAGATGACTTACTCTGAAAATGCAGGGTATCAGACTTCAAGATTCTCAGACAACTCAGATCATCTACTAGTGAACTTCAGGGGACTCTCTGCGGATTTGTTGATCATGAAAAATTCTAAAAACCTCTTACTCAGTACTGACAATTCAAGTCCCACAGTTGATGTGGAGTCCAAGGCAGTGAAGCCTGAGATGTGCTTGACACCAAAAAGGAGATAATCCCAGGGGTAGGCAACAGAAAAACAGAGGAACAGAGTAAAAGAAGCTACTCACTGTTACAGGAGATGCCACAGATGTTCCTTGATGGGAGGATCTGGTTGTCCCTGCACCACATTTTATTATTGATCTGGAAGAGTCCATATTCTGTTTTGCCGTTATTTTTAACTATGGTTTGTGTGTCATAACCACTGCTATGAAATATGGTACAGATCCCTGAAGGAAAGATGAGAAAGAGTTATCACAGAGATGTCCAGGCACAGCACAAATGAGAACTTGTATTCCTAGACAGAAAAAGACTGTTCGGCCAATCTCCAAATGTGATAAAGCACAAAGCATCTTGATGAGATGAAAAGAAGAGTTCTAAAAAGGGTCAAATAATGGCAGAAAGGAAAAACAGGAGAATAAATGTAATAAAAGAGTAAACAGATAAGCAGACAAGATAAGAGGATTATTAGACAATTCAATGAAAGTGAAGAAAAGAGAAGGAAAAGGAGGATAGGGGAGAGAAGCAGTTGAAGAAAGCGAGGCAGCAGGAAACTCACATTCAGGCAAAGTGACGCCTTTATAGCCATCCATGGATTTCAGCACCTGGGACAGCTCACATTTTGTAAATTGCTTGGCCTGGGTGGCAGAGAACAGGATGCCCACCAGGAGCAGTGAGGCGAAGGACATCATTTTGGCTGTCCCCAAGAACCTGAAATGGGGGCACCACTCAGCTTCACCTGCTTTTATTCTTGGAGAAAGCCTCAAGGGTTCTGGCACCAAGTCCTACATCCAGGAAGAGGATGAAGAAAGGCTGATTGTGCCAGCACAGAAACTGTGAGCCTGCCAGCTTCCTTCCATAATTTCACCCCACTTTTCCTTTCCCTCCTCCAATCTTTAGTCTGTACCAGGTATTGTTCTTTGTCCAGAGAGAGTTCCAAGCATGATCCAGTTTCCCATTTGGCATTGTTTATATCTTTGTTTCTTGTAAGGTTGGTTCTAGGAAGCAGGAAGTAGCCTACTTCAGGAACAAAGGAAGCCTCACGGGTAACATGAACGAGGCAATCAGAACATATAATAAGGTTCCATGGCCAAGTTCCTCATCCCCCTAGAGACATACAGAATATGGAAAAGGAGTGTATGTCATCACATGCCATGGCCCCAGGATCAGAGCTTGCACTTGTCCAGCCAACCTAGGCATGGAACAAAGCCCAGGAGGAGTTCCTTGATATGGTGGTTCACAGCTGAGGGCTCAGGAATAGGGATAGAATATGGCAACATAGACGATGAGAATCAGATATAACTTGGATCCAGAGACTTCCTATTTCAGGAAGATGGAGAACTTGAAAAGTGTGTATGACAATATTTAGCTATCCTATGAGATATTGTCAGGATCCCCACCCCCAACCACCACTACCACTAAATAATCAGATACTATATTGACGTCGATTAAAAGATTGGTGCCAATAGCTGTTAGCCTCCTTCATGTCAGACTGCAATATCCTCTTTATCACAACCTCTAAACCTGATTTCTTATATTTCAGGGAATATCCATTCCAACCAAACTATTTAAGACCTCCAAACTGAAGGTATTGCAAACTGATATCCTACAACTCTTCGGAATCAAGGCAAACTCTTCTCAGTTTTATCCTGTTTTCTATACCATGGATAACCAGTATATGAAGTCGCATGAGTGAAATGAGTGTGGAGGATCTTGGTGTGCCAAAAGAGATAAGCAGAAGGTCCTGATAGCAAAGAGATACATGATCAGAAACACAGCAAAAGTGCTACATTGTGTTTCTCCTCCATTTCACCTAGAGGCATTGAAAGGGTGCATGAAGGACAGGAATAGGAATTCTATCACACTAAGCTAAGCAAGTATGGTTGAGAATATGTCTGGGAGTGAGAGATTGACCTTGAACCATGTGGGAGAGGGACAGATAAGAAAAACCAGTCCTCGAAATAAGCCAGACAGAGAAAGACACTGCATGATTTCACTCCTATGTGAAAGATAAACAAACACATGGATAAAGAGAACAGATTAGTGCTTGCAGAGGGGAAGGGGCTGAGGGGTGGGAGAAAAGGGTAGAGGGGCACATATGTATGGTGACAGATAAAAAGTAGACTACTGGTGGTGAGCACAATGCAGCTTATACAGAAATTGATAAATAATAATGTACACTCGAAATTATACAAAGTTATAAACCTTTATGATTTCAATACTGGTAAAAAATAAAATAAAAGCTAGTCCTGAGGACTACTCTTTCTAGTATTGGAGTCTAGTGTAAAACACCTTCTGCCCTGGGCTATGGGCTAAGTACCTGTGAAAGAATAAAATAGCAGGCCAGGGTATTAGGAACCACTGGGACTTTCTACATTTCCAGCCAAGTCAAAACTTAAGGCAGCAGCCTGCTTGCCTATAATTTGGTTGTACCTCTGCCTTTCCCTGTAAGCAATAAAAAGGAGTATCCAGGTCAGGAACCACAGTTAAGTGCAGAAAAGAAAATAAACGTGCCCCGGGCAAGAGGAACCATTATTTTCCTAGAAATGTTTGTAAAATAGCATGTCTGGGGGTCATCTGGAAAAGAAGATAGAAGATTCTAATGGGAACATTACAAACATTCAGAGCAAGATGTAGAATCTTGGAGATAGACCAAAGAAGGACAACAAACAAGGACCCCAGCACTGAAAGAGGAGCTGTATGGAAAGACGCGAGTACAGCTAATGGAGGAAACCTCCTGCCAAAATCTTCCTTGCCAGAGAGCTTTAGTCAGGGTGCTCTGCATGTAGACTGAGATCTGAATCCAGGCACTGAAGAGGCATTTACAACATACTGGATTTTTCAGAAATATGCTAGGAAGCTATGTCCATTCTTTCAAATGCTGTGGTAAAAATCAGGGTTTCTCAAACCAGTCCTTTTTGGAGAAATTCTAGAAATTATGGAATCAGAAGCACCTGATTCAAAACACATTTAGCAGAAGACATTCGAAACTAGTAGTTCGTAGGTGAGCATAGTTTATAGAGAAAGCCCAGGGCAACCATTTGGAGGGAAGACCCTTGGGACGGGCCACAATAATATTGATCATTACTTCTTACTGTGAATATACTCACCTTGTGCTGCTTCCTCCCATAATTCAGGTAAATGATCACTAAACAGACAATGAAGCTAGATCTTGGACTTGAGACCCAAATTTCAGACAAATTTCCTCATTGAATTAGAAAGTTATTTAAAGCAAACAAGATTTGGAGAAGGGGTGCTTTCTATCAGCGCTTTCCTTTTTTGGTTGCTTGTGCAAAAGTCCTTGCAAAGTTACTTAGCACTGTGGGTTCACATTCTACATCCACACCAAAGGCCTACGCTCAATTTACATGGGAGTATTTTGAATTGTTTCTATAACTGCTTTTGTTGTTGTTGTTGTGTTGTTGTTTTGGGTTTGGAGGGGTTGGGGGTAGTTTTTAGTCTTTTTTATGATAGTAACATGGGTTTATAACATTATATAAATTTTAGATGTACATCATTATGTTTCAACTCCTGTGCAGACTACATCGTGTTCACCACCAAAAGTCTAGTCTATAAATGCTTTTATGCTTAGATGAAGAATCGCTTTATTTTCGTGAATTGAGAATAGTATCAGCAAAAAATGCAAATATACAAATGTAAACCAAAACACATAAATTATTTTAAAATACGCTAACTAAAATGAACTTGGCCTTCTTAATTGAATATTAGCTAAAACAAATTGATATGCATGTAATTTCCAAGAATGTTATGAAATTTCTATGCAAAACTTAATAGATAGCTTTTTTAATTTATTAAATGTCTATTTTTAAATAAACATGTATTTATATAATTATACATCAATACCTATGATAGAATCTACATCCTGCTTTTTGTTAATGTGGTACTTTTTTTCCTTTTCTGATTGGCTTCCCTCTCCCCTTCTCATTTCTTCTCTTCCACACATTGTCCATTAACTCATATTAACAGTCTACCATATATCCATCCAAATTTTTGTCAATTGTTGTATTTTTATACACACATATTGTTTTGCTATTCATTTTTAAAAAATTTAATCCACCTGAAATTCCATCTGATTTCCTCTTCTGTTCAACTGGTCATATTTGTCTATTCTAACATAAATGTCTTGTTGATTTCATTTAGTGGTAGTGTAGTACTAACATTGTAGTACTAAGATACCAATGGGACATTTGCTATGTTCTGATATCTGGTATGACAAGTCTTCGTTGTTATTCTCTTTTTTTTAGAAAATTAATCGAACTTCTAATTTTCAAAAATAATTTAAACCTACATAAAAGTTGTAAAAATATTATAATAAACTCACATATACAAATATTATAATAAACTCACATATGCCTTATACCCATAGATTCACCCACTGTCAACATTTTGCCAGATTTGTGCATTCTCTCTCATATTCTTTTTTTCTAGTTTTATTGCGATATAACCGACATACAACATTGTGTAAGTTTAAGGTGTACGATGTGATGATTTGATACATGTATGTATTATGAAATAATTACCATAATAAGGTTACTTAACACCTCCATCCCCTTACATAACTATCATTCATGTGGGTGCATGTGTGACGAGAACATTTAAGATCTACTGTCATAGCAACTCTCAAGTATGTAATATAGTATTATTAGTTAGAGTCACCATGCTGTACATTAAATTCTCCAGAAGATATTCATCTTGTAACTGAAGGTCTTACCCTTCGACCAACATCTCCACATTTCCCTACCCCCAACCCCTGGAAACCATCACTCTATTCTCTGTTTCTATGAGTTCGGTATTTTTAGTTCCACGTATGAGTGAGATCATATAGTAATTGTCTTTCCCTATCTGACATTTCCCTTAGGATAATGCCCTTAAGGACCACCTATGTTGTTGCAAGTGGTGGGATTTCCTTCTTTTTCAAGGCTGAATAATATTCCATTGTGTGTATGTGTGTGTGTGTGTGTGTGTGTATATTTACCACATTTTCTTTATCCATTCATCCATTGATAGACACTTAGATTGTTTCCATATCTTGGCAATTGTGAATAATGCTGCAATAAAGAGATTTAAATATCTCTTCAAGATTGTGATTTCATTTCCTTTGGATATATACCCAGCAGTGGGATTGTTGGATCATATTATAGTTCTATTCTTAACTTTTTTGAGGAACTTCCATACTTTTTTCTCTACTGGGTGTACCAATTTACTTCCTACCAACAGTGCATAAGGGTTCCCTTTTCTCCACATTCTCACCAACATCTCTTGTCTTGCTGATAATAGTCATTCTAAGAGATGTGTGGTGATATCTCATTGTGGTTTCAATTTGCACTTCCTTGATGATTAGTAATGTTGAGCATCTTTTCACGTACCATTTGTATGTCTTCTTTGGAAAAATGTCTGTTCATGTCCTCTGCCCATTTTTTAATCAGATTATTTTGTTGGGTTTTTTGCTGTTTTTTGATTTTTTACTGTTGGGTTATATGAATCCTTTTTAATTTTTATTCTTTTTTTTTTTTTTGAGGAAGATTAGCCCAGGGCTAACTACTGCCAATCTTCCTCTTTTTGCTGAGGAAGACTGGCCCTGAACTAACATTCATGCACATCTTCCTCTACTTTATACGTGGGACGCCTACCACAGCATGGCTTTTGCCACGTGGTGCCATGTCTGCACCCGGGATCCGAACCAGCGAACCTGGGCCGCAGAGAAGCAGAACATGCAAACTTAACCGCTGCGCCACCGGGCCGGCCCCTATATGAATCCTTTTTATATTTTTTATACTAACCCCTTATCAGTGTATGGTTTGCCAATATTTCCTCCTATTCTGCAGGTTGCCTTTTCATTTTGTTGATTGCTTCCTCTGCTGTGCAGAAGCTTTTTAGTTTAATGTGAACCCACTTGCTTATTTTTGCTTTTGTTGCTTGTGCTTTTGGTGTCATATCCAAAAATCATTGCCAAGACCAATGTCAAGAAGCTTTTTCCCTATCATTTCCACTAGGAGTTTTATCATTTCAGGTCTTACATTTATGTCCTTAATCCATTTCAAGTTAATATCTGTGACTGGTATAAGATTGGAGTCCAATTGACATTCTTTTGCAGGTGAATATCCAGTTTTCCTCTTACCACTCATTGAAGAGACTGTCCTTTTCCCATTGAGTATTCCAACTTACTTGTCAAAGATTAACTGACCAAATACGCATAGGTTTATGTCTGAGTTCTGTATTCTGTTCCATTGGTCTGTGTGTCTGTTTTATGCCTGTACCATACTGTTTTGACTCCTATAGCTTTGTAATAGAGTTTGAAATAAGGAAGTGCAATGCCTCTTGCTTCGTTCTTTCTCAGATTTTCCTAGGCTATTTGGGGTCTTTTGTGGTTCCATACAAATTTTAGCATTATTTATTGTATTTTTGCAAAAACTGCCATTGAAATATTGACAAAGATTACATTGAATCTGTAGATAACTTTGTGTAGTATGGATATTTTAACAATATGAATTCTTTCAATTCACTAACATAGGGTATCTTTCCTTTTATTTGTGTCTTCAATTTCTTTCATCAGTGTCTTATAGTTTTCAGTGTACAGTTCTTTCACCTCCTTGGTTAAATTAATTTCTACGTATTTTATTATTTTTGATGCTATTGTGAATGGGATTGTTTTCTTTATTCCTTTTCAGATAATTCATTGTTAGTGTATAGAAATGCAACTGATTTTTGTATGTTGAGTTTGTGTCCTGCAACTTTACTGAATTCGTTTACTGGTTCTAGCGGTCTCTTGGCAGAGTCTTTAGGACTTTCTATATATGAGATGAGATCATCTGCAAACAGACTATTTTACTTCTTCCTTTCTGCTTGGAATTCCTTTTATTTCTTTTTCTTGCCTGATTGCTCTAGCTAGGACTTCCAGTACTATGTCGAATAGGAGTGGAGAGAGCGGTCTTGTTCCTGATCTTAGAGGAAAAGCTTTCAACCTTTCACCACTGAGCACGATGCTAGCTGTGGATTTGCATGGCCTT